AATCTACCCTAATTTCCCTCTGTTCCCTTGAAAGGATATGAGTCTGCTCTGCAAAGTTTCAACTCCTTCAGTTCATAAGGTATTGATAGACATATAAATTGGATCATTAGAGCTGTTTGTAAAAAGACATGGACAGGAAGAAAGAAAGGGAATTTTCTCCAAGTGCAAAAAAATGTACAGCCTGTCCTGAAACAGCACTTTTAAAGACACTCCTGGCCTTTCTGAGCTTACAGGGTAATTTTACATAATTCATGACTTTGAGTAATATCACATGATTTTATCAATAAGCAATAAAAGTAAACTCTTGTTAAAAAGAATTAAAGTCTCAGTATTCGATTGCTTTATCAGAGAGGTCTCAAATTTTCCATTGGTAAGCCAGTTCTTGGAGTGTGTCAGGATTCCACCCCACCAGAATGACAGAAACTTTCAACATACTAAGCACTCCTATTATTTCTGTGAAATAAATCTTGAGACAGCTCAGCGATCTACGTCCCTTTGGTCACAAAGGAAATACTCCAGTATTATTTCTCTGGCATAAATTATGACAAATAAGGAACTCGTTGAATTGAACTGTAGCCATTGCACATGGTTTTGCTATTCAGACCAGGCACACACCTTCAATCCTGCTAGAAAGAGGATACAGGAAATAGAGTTGGTTATGCTGCTGAACTACCTCACATGCCCTATAGTCCTTTCCAGCTGATCACTTAATTTTCACCTTGTTGTCTTGAACAGAAAAAAAAATATCCTCGTCACAGCACTCAAACAACAGATTAACATAAATAGGATTTTATTTCAACATTCAAATAACCTTTTCTATGCTCAACATAAATAAGGCTCTCTGCTTGCTAGTAACTGAAAAGAATATAGGCTCTGTTTCTTATAAAGAAAAACATAGACCCAAACCAACAACCTAACAGCAAGAAGAATGCAAGAATGAACCTTCTTAGAGAAAGTGTTAGAAAAAGTATTAATTTTCTGTACAATCCTTTGGAACAAACCTGAAAGGCAACAATGAAGACAAGACTGTTGGCAAATTATTTTGGGCTACACTGAGAGAATAAAAATGTGTGCAAGTTTTTGTTTAGATGCTCATACCCAGAAAACTGTGTTTCAATGGCAGTGGCTCTGATTAACTGCCCTGACCTTCTGCGTCATGGGCCATAATCTCACATGGGAGAAAGGGGTCAGAAGTTTACAATCCACTCACTACTGAACTAGTACTTTTTTACAGATAACCAGCGTGTGTTAGAACATCACTGCAAAGCACTGAAGCCAGGTACCCCATGGTACTCAGGGAAGTTATATAAATGCACACAAACACACATACAAAAGTCTTCTTTACTTCAAGGCACTTAAAACCCTCAAGACTTCATGCACTGATCAAATTTTAATCCCACACAGCCACTGTAGCACAGCTGAAGCCACACACACTTCTACTGGAGATATCACAGGTGAGAGTTCTTCTGTGGTACAGCTGCGGAAAGACAGAAATTCCCAGCTACCAGAAGCTAAGCCAGCCAAGGCACTCATCAGCACAGCTGCATCTAAACTAGGAGTCTGCTGATGGCATGCACTTTGTTCTGAATTCCTTGGGGATGTTACTATGGGAACTTTTGTAGTGGGAGGATCTTATGTCTGGTGTGTATCTCAAAAAGAGAAAGCAGGAACAAAGCAAAAAAACTAAGAATGATAGGAAACCCTATCAGAACACTCTGTTCGATTTACTGTCCCACTAGAGAATCCCAATAGAGATGAGGCTCTTCTTATAGGCAGTAACCAGGCACATCACACTTCATGTTCTTAGCTATTTAACAACTGACCATTGGATATTTTTTTACGTTAAAAAAATATACTAGAATTTTACCCAACTGCAGACAAACTCCTGCTAATCAAAACATTTACAAATGGTTCTGAAATGTAAGATATGCATCTTGATACAGCTCTAAATTCACCCAGTTAAAAATTAAACAATAAAAAAAAAAAAAATCTATGCTTGACACAAAAGCCCACTGCCCTACTCCAAATACACAAAACCTACTGGCTTGCTACCAAAGAGAACATAGAAGCAACACCGACATAGATTTGATTACTCCACAAAGACAGTCAGAAAATTAAATGGAGAAATTTGTGTAAAACTTAATATGTAGACTGACTGCTCCTGCTTTCATGTACCCAACAAAACCTGTGTAGGTGGTAGCACAGTCTCCAAGTTTTCACAGAATTATTTTAGTGTAATGGTAGCTAGGAAAATTGACTCAGTTATGGAGCTTTCCTTGCCTGAAACATCACTTCTCTCAGAGAAATGGAATCATACTGGGAGGAACCAACAGAACATGCTTAGAAATTGTAGTCAATATAATTTTTTTCCAGTATTAAGACTGGCAAAGAGCAGTCTCCTCAGCCTCTCTTCCTCTCCAGTGTATTTCTGTTTCAATATACATATCAATATTAATTTCCCCTGCAGAGTTACTGTCATATCTAATGAACAAACACATGCTATGTGACATGTCTTTTTAAGCCCTTGATTTTTACATTACCTCTAATTAATTCAGATCACTAATGATATATTTTAAAGCGGTCCCAATTAAAAAGACGTGCTGTAAGACCACAAAAAGTTAATATAATGCATAAAATCACATCCGTGTATGTTCCTGTTCCCTGTCACAAAAGAGCTGCCCAATTTTTCCTTTCAAATTTTCATTTAGAAAACCCCTCAAAAACTATAATGATGCCTCACAAGGTACTATTACAGTGCTAGAAAGAAAGCAAATACAGCTCAGCTATTTCACTCTAAACAGAGTATTTAATTTATAAGTTGGTTCTACAAACACCCATTCTCAAAATGTCATCTTCTTCAAGATGTTCTAGACCAGTCAAGCACATTGACAGTACTTCATAACAACAGTTTTATACGTGAACCCCCTAAATTATAATCCACAATATTATTAAACTCAAAAGATGAATCCCAAATTAATTTCAGATATTTCTTTTTTTTTTTCATAATTTCAGCTCCATATTGAATCTCAGCTGAATCCTTCCTCATTTCTGGAAGCCATCACATCACTCAATGTATTTTAAGGAAGCTGTTAACACACCAAAGAGTCCAATGTCTTTCAAAACAACAAACATATAGACTAATCCTGGATTCATTGCTCCTGTCTGTGTTTGCCAATAATGTGGCCTAGCAGGAGAAGACTTAAAACATTAAGGTGGTGCTGCACAGAACTTAATGTCTACTTAACATTCACTCGAGAGCATTTGTACTTCAGATTAGCCCTTCTCTCATCCTGTGGTCTGAATGTGAGGCTGAAGCACATTAGGTGTGTGTCTGGAATACATCCTTAAGTTCAGTCTAACTCAAAAGGAACTCAGTTTGTGTCTCTACAAACACTTCAGGATGTGAGCCAAAGCACAGCAAGTGCTGATGATCTGCTTCAAAAGCACGCTTCTGAATCAAAGTAAAGCACAGAAGGAGACGTGTCCATTGAAGTCAATGGGACCTTTATCACTCCTTTCAGTGAGATAAAACTTACTTGATCCTTCCCTCCCTTTGGTGTTTTTTTTCCCCTCTGATCTTTCCATTTAGGTTTAATAAGAGGTGAAAGGTAAAAAAGGACTGATAAATAGAGTGGAAGAATAGCGTGTTGAATAAAGGGAAATTTTCCTGGTGTGTTTATGTAGATTGCTTTGATTTACTGTGGCTTTTCTCATTCTCACAATCATACTCTTAGAACCAAAGCAATGGGATAAAGCTGGTGATGTTTCCATGACTGTACTCAGTAGTTCACTTTAGGGTCATACTGCTGTGCCCAAGCTGATTACTCCTGAAGGCAATGGGGTTCTCCAGAGGCTGAACAGTCTGCTCGCATTCAGCTGGTTATACTTCTGGGCATTAAAGAAAACGTCTGTGATGGCAAAGGTAACACATAAATTTGTCAGCTCTTTAGGATCCTTTGGTCCCAAGTATTTTCCTCAGAAACATCTCCCCTCACTCTTGCTGATATAGAGGGGAAATAAACGTGAGTGTAGGTGAGGTACCAGCACCTACAGTACCCTGAATGAACATGAAAATCTAGTTACTGTAGAAGAGGCTATTTAAAAACATCACACCCAGAAATAAAAAAGGTTTTCATTTTGTATCATGCCTCTTCATAACCTCCTGTAGAAGAACCTCCTTTATAAAATATATATTTTTCTTTCCCTTTCAAACTGGTAAAGCCATTCATCTTATGATTTATCATTTCCACAGAAGTGATTAGGTGATTATGCATACTTATTGTCTACTGTAGAGATAATGTGTGAAATCCAAACATATATTATGAAGATGGTGTGTATGACATCAAATTAAGACTTAACAAGCCCTTAATATTGTCATAAAGCAAATAAAAAAGTGGTGATCAGACTATAAATAAACACAAACCCAACCTTTTAGCATAGTAGTTCCTAATACATCTTTTCCAAAAGTTAGATACCACCCCCTCATATTTTTAATAAAGTCCTAGAACTGTTACCATTTCTTCCAAAGAGAAGGGTGAGTCCAGTACATCTATCCTTTCAGAAAGTATACTTACTACAAACTATACTCTAAGCCACCAGCAGGTTTGTGAGAAAAAATTAAGACAGTTGCTTTCTTTTTGTCCTGGTCTTTAATAAAAGTGTCATGACTTTATGATGTTGTAGTCTGCACAGCTTTGCTGACAATTTTGCTCCCTGAGATAATGCACCTGCAGCCTTGGAAATGAGCCAGACCTTGGTTTGAATAAATAACAGACTTTTTTTTCCAAGAAAGAGGAACGTCTAACAGTGAAAGCACCGTGCTAAAAAAGCTTTCCACAAGAATAAATGTTACAGGGAAAAAGACTATAAAAAGTGCACCTCAAATGCTTCCTATTTGCTGGCCTGAAGTCAGCAAAATCAAGTTCAGTAACCTTCCCATCCAACTGTCCAAATAGAAATGTTTGTTGAAATCTGTACTTAGATCACTGAGAAAGGATAAGGCATCAAGCAGAACAGAATGTTTGGTATGAGAACATCCAGACCTGGGGTAGGTGCCACCTAATCACCCATCTTCTCTTCCAAAAAGGAGTGGGCCTGAAAGCAGAGGGGAAAAAAGTGGTGTTTAAAACCATAATCCAAAGAGCAGAGGAGTCCTGTGCACTGCACGGGGCCTCTCTGTGATCTGACACGGGAATCCTTGGACCCTTGGCACGGCCGCTCTGAGAGAAGAAACGAACCTGTAATTCCAGACTCTCCTCTCTGTTCTTGTTCAACAACCAAGAAGCATTTCTTCCTTCCTTAACCATTTACCCACGCTGCTCCTACTCACTGTTGCATGGCTCCTTTGCCTCTGGAGAAATACTCTTTTGGAAGCTTCTCTCACCTACCCCAACCAACTGCTCCACCTGTTGCCCACACTGTCTCTCAAAACTGCTGGCTCTTTCTAACGACCTGCCTTGGTCACAGCTGAAGATTGTGGGAGACCAAGAGAAGTCTGATTATGAAATGTTGAAAAAAGAGATAGATGTCTGCGAGGAGATCTGCGGGACTCCCAAAACCAACACCTGTAGCACATTTAAGTGACTGCTTGGACTGTTGTGACTCTGTACCCAAGTTTATGTTTTAAGTTTATTGTATTTTTACCCTTCGCTTTACCCTATTTCACAATTTTCATAAAAATCCCCGTTGTTCTGTATTCCCCGTTATTCCTCTTTCCCCTGATTGGTTGTTTAGTGCTGCATTGCAGCATTGCCTTATATGGTAATCCCTTATATGGTTATCCCTTTCCATTTATGGTTATGTCCAACTCCTGTCTTCCATATATGTCTTCCATTTGCATGCTCCACCCAGAACCCACCTTCTTTTCCAGTACCTTCCAACCCTACTCTTTATAAGCCAGTGCACCTTTCAATAAATGACCATTTCACCCTCTAACTCTGGAGTGGTTGAACCCTTATTTCCCACTGAGCCACGCCAGAAGATCATTAGGTTCCTGATGAGTGGAAAGCAAGCTCTTGGTCATGTTCATCCTGGTAAAATTACTGGTGGATCCTCTGCAAATGCATGGAAGGTCTGCGAACTAACTAGGCAAAATCTGCTAAAATATTCTGCAGTTTCTTATTAGTGCAAAATCAGATTAGGTTTTGGCCTCAGCCTTATGGCAGGCTGGAATTAGACTACATTTTCTCTTTTCAGTCCTTGTACATATCACTCTTACACAAACCACTTTTTTATGTGCACCTGGGGGTCCAAACCCTTGCTGGCAACAAGAGATGCACAGGTCATTTATGGGATGCACCTCGAACGGCCTTCTCACAGTGATAAACAAAGTCCCCACTAGAAAAACATGTCTTCTGTAGTTCTCATTTAATAAACAGATGCACCTGTGCCAAGGCTTTCCTGGGCAAAACTTAAAACAGCTGAATATTCCATGGTAGATAATTATGCTCTACATTAGGTATTTCAGCAAATTTGTACCATTTAACCACAGCATTGCCATGGGAACCTTTAAAAAAATTAGCAATTTTAAAATCTCTTTAAAGTTTAAGGCAGACTTTTAGGACAGCTTAGAAGTTGTTCCATTTCTATTTCCTTAAAATTCCTAATATGAGCTCGCATTCTTCTAATGTTTGACACAGGGAAGTTTCACTGAGGCTGTTGAGTTCTAAGGATGCAAATCATGTACTGCAATATTTTTTTCCCATTCATTATGATGTAAACATCTTCTTAAAATTATTCTAATATACGCATGTGCTTTATTACAGATGGTTCTTTTTGAAAAAGATATTGAGACAGCATAGCCAGTTTTAGATTTTCTAAAAGTGTCAGAACTCTGTAGTACTCATCCAGCTGAGTCTGATCACTGAGGATAGGTTAACTATATTTACAAGAATATTTGAACATCTCTAATCCAGTTTACACACCTGCTCTCAGCCAGCGTGTGTTTCTGCCAGCTGCTTCTAGACTGCCTGTGGCAGGTGGGATTTTTCGTGTTTTCAAGAAGTAGGGGGGAGAACCAGCAGCACTCCTAAGACTATCAAGGACTCTCACATCTCAAGACTTTTAAGACACTCATGATCTCAAGAGCCTCTTGGCAGGAGAGTTGAACAGTCACAAGGTCTTTGGTTCCTTTGCCATTTCGAGATGCTCACAGGTCGTAGCACTTGCAGAGCATTCCTGGGGTATCAGCACTGCCTGGCAGCAGCTCAGGGCTCCCTGCACGAGGTAGGATGGGTGGCACCTTACACAACAACGCACAACACTGATGCTTTCATCCCAGTGTTGCACTCCCAGGGCAGGCAGATGATGTAGAAGATGTCTTGAGTCACATCTGCCTCTTGTTTCCATGATGGGGTAATTCCACACAAGAGGACCTTCCTTCTACTCGGCTGAACAGCTTGTGGTGCACAGTTCAAAGCAGGCCAGAGTGCACACAACCACCAGGTACTGCCTGGGAACTTCTGACACAGGAAAATTTCCAGCTGAAAACGTAATGCTCCTAAACAGTGTTGTATTCATTACAGAATTTACTTAAATCTTCCTCTCCTTCAGAAAACTGAGCAAACCATGATTGACATTTTGCACATAGCAATATATATATATATTCAACAGAACCTGCATCCATACAATTTTAAATAATTAATACAAATTATGTGATCTAGAAAACATCCAAATACTCTATAAAGCCACGGTTAGAAAACTTCTGGACAAAACTAATCTTTTGGAGCACTAAGAATTCTAGTGAGACAAAAATAATAATTAAATTATTATTTTGGGTGTTGTCACCCTAACAATAGTAAATTAAGTGGTTTAAGAAACATCTAAAAAAAGCTGAGGATAGAAGAGCCACACTCTATAAAACCAAAAGAGAAAGGATGGTTATTAAAACTTTCTTCCTCCTTCCTGAATTGTTTTATGGGGAGTTCTTTGAACCATGTTACCAAAGATGTAATATTTTTTTTACGGGAATGCTTGTGCTGCTATGATTTACTTCCACTATCAGAATGATATCAGTGAATTAGTAACAGCACCTTGAACCAACGGGGGGAAGCCACTAGAAAAGAATTATTTAATGACATGATATATTTTGAAGATTACAATTTCTCCAAGATAGTTTAAGTCTTATGTTTACTGGGAAACCCATCTTTGCAGAACATTGAATTCCCCATCAAGCACTTTCCAGTAGTGGATCACAGTCTACAGGAAGAGATGTCAGAGGTGCTTAAACTTGTTCTAATATATTAATAACTTATTTCCTCTGCCTTTAAAATCAAAGGACTCAAACCAGCTTTCTCCTGGACAACTTCAGATAATTTCATACTGATTTCATCCTAACTTCTCTAACTGTGAACTCTCCAAGAAGCTGGAATATGTAAACCCACCACCATTAAAAGGGCAGCTGTTTTGTTTAGTCAATGAACTTATACCTATTACTTAATTTTAATTTTTTTCCCCAGGTGTGATACAAAATTATTCCTCATCATATCAAACCAGCTGCCTTCTGGGGGGGAGAGTTTTCTTAGGTTTTTTGTTTGTTTGTTTTCTGTTTGGTCATTTTTTAAAGTCAGTAACCTTCTATTTGAGACAGGAGAAAAATGGAAGCTTAAATGCTTTAGGACAAAGAAACGCAAAATGAAGCAGAAATAATGAAATGTTTTCTAATGAATAAATGTACTTATTTCCTTTGTTCCAAAACCCCAGAGTTTTTGTGGAAAGTAAACAATCATAAGAATGATACTTTCATTAATCTATTAGGATGAAGTAACCTACTACAGAGAAATCAAAATTTCAGAGTATATTCAGAAACCAATCTCTTGATGTATTATTCCTACTGTACTTGTCAAATAGTTTGTTGTTAAAGACAGTATAAATCATCTTTATTGAAGTTCTGGGTTCTTCAGCTACAGTTATGATGTTATGCTTTTCTGAAGATAAAATAATACATAATAAAAAACAACAGAGAGCCTATTGCTCTGCTTACTGAATAATAAGCACACAATAACTTTAAGTAAAGGACTGAAATCTAACTGGTAGATTTTTCCCCCTCAGTTCCTACTTTCTGTTTCAGAAAGTTGAAGGCATTTTGAGAACGACTCTGTGTATTCAGACCGTGCTGAGCCCCTAACACAGGAAAAGGGGTGAGAGGATGATTTTTCTAATATCACAATTAAAGCAGGTAAGGAAATACAATAGGGAACAGAGACAGACTAATCAGTGTTACTTCTTCAGTATTCCAACAGCAGCCCCACTAAGCGACCCTCGAACAGCACCACTAAAGCAGTAAAACTGTTAGTGCTGGAGCATTTTACCACCCAGTCATGAAGTGTTTTCCTGTTTGAGAACATAAAAGTACACTTAATGTCAAGGACACATAATCTGAACTATAGCAAAGACTACTTATTGTTTTAATTGTCCCAAAGATCATTCCTTAGGAGAACTGCAGTTTTGACAAGCTTTTGCATTTTGAAGACTTTTCCTTACATTTACCCTTTGTTTCTGGTACAGGGCCATGGTGGAAGAGCATTACCTAAACCTGGCTGGTGAGAGAACAGGACAGGAAGAATTTTCAGACTCTCAGTAATTACCTGCACCTTGTGTGAAAACTCCCAGACAGCCACCCCGAGTCTACCAGATGTACAAATAGGACCTGATTATGCAACCCTTATGTTCCCTAATTCAAGAATATCTCAAAACACACACAAATGCATTTCTTCGTAACAATCCAAAAAGGAGTAAATTTCCCCAAAAGAGACCTTCTCCTCCTATTTACAATTCAAAATACCCTAATGCAATGACTGTATAACAGTAACAGCTCGCATAAGCAATTCAATCCTATTTGTTTTATAACAACACCTTATGCACCCTTACACACAGAAGTTTTCCAGTGTTATATTCACCTAATATCCAGTCAGCTTTTAAGGTGGGGGAAAACAAAAGAAATATCTGAACTCCTTAAACAGGACTCGAAAATGAAAGGGTATGATTTCAATTAAACCCCAAAATCCAATTTCTGTTCAGGAGTACAGTGTGACAGTCCATGTAAGGCACAGTTATTCTGAATTTACAATTACAATATACAGTATCTTCTCTTCTTA